TACAGCTGGTGTTCCATCACCAACCAAGTGTCGGATATACAGGCCCTTGGACATGGTCTTATCTCATTGGCATGCATACAGACATGTTCTCCTTCTGATTCAGATTCTTCAGGTTAATCAGATGTGAGGTGTTGCTATGAACATCAGACTGAGAGCAGTAATTCTAGGGCCTTAATTCACTGTTAACGCTAAACTGACAACCGGTGAAGGTTTTTAAAATGCTACCTATATGGAATTTTGTGTAACACAGTTTTATGCAAATTTACAGGTGCACACAGTTTTAAGGCTTGACATGTTGGGTATCTATTTATTTGATGCTACCACTTTAATATTTTACTAAAAATTGTGTATAATAATTATATTGTGTGCTTTTGCAACAAAAATGTATTTTAGTGTACACCCCAATTCTGAAAAAAAAGTTGGGTTCGCTGTGTAAAATCTACATAAATACAACGGGCCCAAAGAATACAGGCATCCAGTCTTGCAATTTGGCCTTGACCCTTCCTCTCAAAGATATCACCATGTTCTTTGAATCTTTTGATGATGTAATGTGCTTTAGATAATGATATTTAATTTCTTTGCAATTTTATGTTGAGGAACAGTATTCTGAAATTGTTCAACAATTTTTAGACATACCTGTTAAGGAATGTTTTACATGAGGACTAGAAATATCGTGAAAAGGTTTATGTTCCTCCTAAGCACTTTGCACAACAGAATTCCACCGATAAGGAATTCTCTAAGAAATTTGTTGTTCTGGAGGTTGATCTAGCTGTCTCTTGTCTTAATAAGAATCTCACAGCTCCGATTTAGGATGTGCCAAATTTCTGGAATCCTGCAGAATAAGGGCTGTGAGGGCCCTGCTCAAAGCTGCTTTTCTCTGTCCAAACCAATCGCACAACCAATAGTGGTTGCAATGGTCGTGTGACAAACACTTGGGCTCTGGTTCAGGCAGGTGGACAGTTATCCTTGCTGCATTGATACCAGTTCTTCCCTCCAAGTCTAGTGGAATTGTTTCCTGCAGTCTTACACTACTGAATGGATAGGGTGAGTATTTCGCTCTGCCACTCATCTCACCTTGTGCTTCTGGCTGTGCCGATGCAAAGGATCCTCTGGCTGAAATGCCGGTCAGCTGAACCTGCCTGTAAGAAAAGATTGAAACGAATGCTGTTAGAGGGTGATTGCCTCTTTGGGGAGTCTTTGGATGTGCACATCAAGACAAGTGACAGGTGTTAAAGTAGACTTTTTCCCAGTAAGATGAAGATGAAGGTCTTTACGGGTAAGCTGGGCCCCTTGGGACAGAAAAAGTTGTCCTTGTGTTCTCCCTGGCCGTCCTCTTCCAAGGCCAAGCCAGGCCATTCCTTTTGTTGCAAAGCCAAATCGTTCAGATTGCATCCCATGTCCCAGGTGCCTCCACTGCTCTCGGTGGGGGAAAGTCTTCTCAACACCTGAGTACAGGGAGTTGTTTTCTCTCGTTCCAAGAGGGAGTTTCAAACCCGCCCTTTGATGTGCCTCTGTTCCCTCTGTGCGGATTTGCATAAAGCTGTATCCGAGCTTTCGATATTGGGGGTTATTACTCCAGTCCTAGAGGAAGAGAGAGTTCAGAGATTCTACTCAGCTCTGTTCATGGTTCCAAAGACAAATGAGGATGTCAAACCTGTTTTTTTTTGGACCAAAAATCTCTAAACCTTTTTCTGAAGGTCACAAAGTTTAGGATTGAATCAACAAGATCAGTCATAGCAGCCCTCCAGCCAGGAAATTTTGTGACATTGATTGACATAAAGGATTTGTACTGACTCCATCATGAAGGCGGTAGAACTCATGAGAAGAAGGCAGATCTCATCCTGACTTGGGTAGAGTTCCTGCCATATCCATCGTGTGCATTTTGGGAGTGGAAAATTGGCAGGTGGACCTATATCTGCAGGAATTAATGTCAGGGGAATGCTTGCTGCATCCAAATGTGTTCCAGGACATCTGACGTTAATGTAGGCACTCCTGATGTAGACCTCCTGGCATCCAGTTTCAACAAGAAATTGGACTGGTTTGTGGCCAGAATGAGAGATCCTCAAGCATTTGCAGTAGACGTTCTGGTGACTTTATGGGATGAATTCCGACTGATCCATGCATTTCCTTTTCTTCAGATGCTACTGTATCTACTTTGTAGGATCAAGGTAAAAAGAGTAATGATGATGATTGTGGTACCCCAAACTGGCCATGAGAGGCTTGGTATTTAGATGATGTTTGCCTGCTGGCAGATCCTCCTTGACCTCTTCTAGACAGGCCAAGCTATGGGTTGCAAGATCCCATCTATTATCCTGCTTCATGGTCGCTAGCTTTAATGGCATGGGTGTTGAGGCCCAGGTCCTAAGAAAGAGGGGAACTTGGATTCAGTGAGTCTCATTCTTCTTTCAGAAATTGACACTGAATACTCTGAAAGAAAAAGAGAGCAGGTCTTGACATTTGTCATTTTTTCCAGAGATGCCTAGCCTCTCCATCTTTGATCGCCTCACCTTATTGGATGCCAGAAATGCTGTGGGACCTTCCCTTTTTACTTTTGCTCCTGCAAAAGCTGCCTTTGGAAACAGTCCTGGATATTTCTTTGGTGAATACCCATAAAGTAGTTTTCTTGGTGGCAGTTACTTCCTGGAAGCATTTTTTAGCTGGCTGCTCTGTCTTGTACAGAGCCCTTTTGGTATTGTATAGAAACAAAGTGGTCTTGCGGCCGAATACTTCCTTTTGCCTAATGTGGTATGTTATCTGGATTCCACTTAAATGAGGATACTGTTTTGTTTTTGCTTTGGTCGGCTCCTAGGGTTCAAAGGAGGCAGGACTCATTGTTTGGATGTAGTGCAATTTTTGGAGTTTTACCTTGTAGCTGCAGTCTCCATCAAAATCAGACTTGCTTTTCATCTTGCATAAAGGATCCTAAGATGGCTTTTTCTACTGTGCAGTTCACTGATGCCAGATGGATTCTTCATGTCATTTCTCGTACCTATACCCTGGGGGTTAATAGTTCCCTTTTTCCAGTTAAGGTATTCTACTTCTGTTGGCACACTTTGGCATTTCCGCATCAGTCTTATGTTGCACAGCTTTGTAAGGCTGCTACCTTGTCTTCACTTCACATATTTACTGAGTTCTATTAGGTTGATGTTCAAGTCTCTGCTGATGCCAGTTTTGGCCGAAAGGTGTTGCAGACTGCTATTTAAGGTCAATCTTGGCCTTCATTTCGTGGGTCTGTTTGGCAGGCTTCTGGTTGCCATGTTACCCTCATTACGACTTTAGGATGTCCCATCCATCATGATTTGAAGACCCATGTCCTTTACTGTACAATAGAGAAAATTGGATTTTGTTATGTACCTGTAAAATCCTTTTCTTGGAGTTACAGTAGTGGAACTTTGCTCTTAACATTCCTTTCTACAAAACTGAACTGCATGCATGGTTTGAGGGGTTATATGAGGGAGTGTTTAAAGCTTTGATTGGCTTTGCCAGTTTCCAGCCACCTGAAGGTGTGGCATGTAACCCAACAATTATGATTTGAAGATCTGTGTCCTGTACTGTCCAAGAAAAGGATGTAACAGATATGTAAAAATACAAATTTCAGTAAGTGCATATATACAAGGGGCATTCAAGTCAAACTGGGACTTTTGAGTTTATATTATAAAAGAATACATTTCAAGGAGTGGAAACTGCATTTATTTTTCTAAATACTTAACTGCTACAATTCTACACTTATCCCAGTGTTTAACTTATTGCTGAAAAGCTTCGATATAGAAAGCTTTGCCAGTACGCCTGAACCATCCTAGGACAGCCTGCTTCACTTCCTCATCATTGTTTTTACCGTTCCCGCAGAAAGATTAGTCTCTTGTGCAATTTTACGACAGGTTATGTGTCGATTATCCAGGCTCAGACGTTCCACACGCTGAATGTTCACAGGAATGACCGCTGTGTGCTGGTAACCACCATGACCAGGGTTGTCAATGACGGCCATAAGGCCATCTTTGAAATATTTACAGCATTCAAATGTCAGCATCTACTTCTGAACTGGATATACTGGCAGAGAGATGACACAACCATATAAATCCTGGTGCCTGTGTCCTTTCTTGCTGTGTTCACTAATGATAGACATACAAGGTTAGCCCCCGCAGCAACTGCTAAGCTTTGACTTGCTACAATGTTGCAGTCTGATTACTAGTGAAGCTTTTTCTTTCCTCCTTTATGCCTGTCTGATATGCATGACTTTATGGTAATTAAATTACAATGACTGGAGCACCACATTTGGTCATACTAGATAATTTTTATACTGAATGCTTGATTGTATGCAGGCTAAGTTAGGCTGTATAGGTGTCCTACTAGGGGGGCTTTTTCTCTCCCTTTTTGTTTGCCCGTTCTGGGGTGTTTTCTGTGTTGTAAAACTCAAAAACAAAATTACAGTGACTGGATTTGGGCAAAAATACTGGCAAATGATGAGTTGAAGAAGCCACTCACGTGACTGGTAAAATATTTTTAAGTATAATATGCAAGTCCAGTTATGTTTTGATTACTGTATCAGGTAGGAAAGGTTATATCAGTGATTTTTGTGGGGATGAGAAGTTTGGGGTATTCTGAAAACATACATTCCTCTATGCTGCAGCGTCAGTGCGACACTGCTGCTGTTCCATACCGAGTCTAAAACCAAGAACTGAGTGGTCACATGAGCGCAGATCACTCGGCTCTTGGTCTACTCGCAGTGGAGTGCAGTGACTGTCACTCACTGCTCTCTGCTCTGCTCCTCCAGCATCTTTTACTCAGATGCTCCATGAAAGGCAGGGCTAGCTGTCAATCAGGCAGGCAGCTTATTCTGGGTCACAAAAGTAAGAGAACTGCAGTCAAAAAAAGTTTGTCAATTTTTCTCTTTTTTAAGCTACCTCATAGCATCAGAAAACATAAATTTTGGAGGGAACTGCTGTGACTTTCATGGTGCTTTATCTATTGTCTGTATACTAATGTTTCTCTTCCTTCCACAGAATGACTGAACATAAATTGAAAAGATTTGAGAAGGTGTTTAATCTCACTTCTGAAAAAGTAGTGACTCGTAAAGGAATAAAGTAAGTAAGTTAATGCATGTAGGCATCATACTGGAAATAAGCCTGCTACACTTCCAGGCTTTTTAGCAGGCACCCCGTTCTTACTGTGCCAGCATTCCCCTGCCACACATTGTGTCACCAGAATGCCTCACAATTACTGTGATTTTACTTTCTGAAAGTCAAAACTTGCAGAACACTCTCTTCCCTGTACAGAGATACAGGAAAATATCTTGTGGTTTTATATCTGGTAGTATTGGCTTTTTACAGTTTATTTATTTTGGGTCTCTGGCAGGCAGTTTAGGTGGTGAAGGAGTGTTAATAAGTTATGGTTGCCCACTGCACAGCCTGACAGTTGAAATGAATGTAAATGTACATCTATTTTTTCGGCTTTAGTACAGGAAGGGCACAGGGTTAATATTCATAGATCCTGGGTTATAGGTTGGTGCCTCAGGTGATTGTATACTAGCAAAGCTTTGAAGGACATGCCCTCCTGAGCGTCCCCCTATGACTCTACCACACTCTGTGATTCTTCCTTTTTTTGCTAGTGTCCTAAGATGTTGAACCTCTTTTATCTTTTACAGTTAAATCACTCTTTTTGCTTTTTTTTTTTTTTTTTTAAATTTTAATCTTTAATTCTTCAATCAGCTCTTCACTGTCTTCTAATTAAACAATAGAAGCAGTTCATGTGGTTCGGTCCAATCTTGGTAAAACCTTGGAAGCCATACCCAGGCTCCACAACATGGAGATGGCATGTGTATACCCCCTGCTGCTGTCTTTTCAGCTGAAAGGGGAGCAAATGGGGGTAGTAAAACTGCGGTTCAGCCATGTGTTTTTACCACATCCCAACTGCAAGTGCAAACAAGCTCTTAAGGGATACAATTTTCAAACTTGATGCTATAATTTAACCACTTAGAGCATAGTGTCAGGTGGATGACCAGGTGTTGCATCACAGGTCACTTTACCTTCATCTAGAGCCCTTTATAGGTATTTAGATGCTTTTTCCTGTCCTTTTGCCATGGAGACTTCACTACAGGACAGTCTATCCCCAAGCCACTGCATACTCCTTCGGACACACTTACCTAGTTTCCACACCCTACACCTGGAGTGCCCCACAGGGGAATACCCTCATCCATTGCAATGGTGGAAACTAGGTGCAAGGGAGCAACGGCGAAAGCTCAGGCAAACATTGGCTCTGCTGAAGGCCTGCAAAACACTAACTCACAGTGATGACGTTTCCCTTGCACTGGGGCAGGACCATATTTTATGACCAGTTTGTGCATCCAATGCATTTGTTTGTAGCTCTATCTTGGGCACAGAACAAGCTGACCGAGGCAGACTTTTCTGCAACCATGTCACAACTTTTTGGACAACTAATGACTTTAATACAACCATCACTGTTCTGTGTTAAAAACCACCAGGCTGCTCCATCTCCACAGTATCTACCTGAGTTGAATGCTGATATGCATGCCTTAAAAGAGACAGACATAGCAGAGACTGAAAAGGGGTGTTAGAGGAGGTTGTGGAAGAGTTCTCATCCCCAGGCTTCTGATGTTATGGCTTAATGCAATATGCATGCCAGTGTTTATATGCTCACTTCTTCTGTGTGTGCATTGGCATTGTTGCACTTAATTCTCCTCTATCTCCCCATACCCCTTTGCGCACAGAGACCTGCTAAATCTAAAAAGGCATTGCCAATCCATGTGCACTCTTTAATTAGGTAAATTCAGAAAAGATTTTCACCCCTCTGAAAATCGTTGCTAAGCTCTAGTCAGTGAAAAAAGTTAACAAAAATGTGGTCTGTTCCAGTAGTAAACCCTGTCATCTCAATCTTAAACATCTGATTCTGCTGACTGAAAGTTTGAGATGCTCTTAAAGGCTCTCTTTAAGTTCGCAGGCCCAGCTTTGCAACCAGTTTTGCAATTTCTTTTTGCCAGACCACAGCTATTTAGTTTAGGGAAATGAACAACCAACACAATCCTGTATTTCAGGGCTGTACTTTAATGGAACAATTACAGCAAATATTGTCTGCACTTTAATGGAGCAATTACAGCAAATATCTTCTTTTGTGTTGATACCCTAGAACAAGTTATGACTCAGATCTCAAGAATTCTGATTTTCTGTTCACATGCACAGAATCTTGTGACCCAAAATCTGTCAGCTAAAGCTGTCTGTAAAGGACGCCTCACATGTATGCAAGAAGGTTTTTTTTCTTTCAGCCCAAACAAAATGTGCCGGAAGACAGCCAGATATGCAGAACACCCTGAACCATCTCTTGTCCCAGGGAGTAGTTGTTCCAGTACCTCTGGAGGACAGGATCAAAGGATTCTATTCACACCTGTTCACAGTAAAAAAAAACAGCATGGGTATTTGTCCTATCCTGGACATAAACCCTAAAGAAATACCTTCAAATTCAAAGGTTTCACATGGAATAAGCAAGATCAGTTATTACCTCTCTGAGACAAGTTTAACACTTGGTATCTATAGACATGCAAGATGCCCACCTGCATACATTTATGCACCTTGTCAGCCCTTTTTACACTTTGCAGTAGGAGACAGTCATTTCCAGTGCCTTTTGGCCTATCCTCTGCTCCCTGAAAATTCACAAAGGTACTTGCACCTCTTCTTGCCCTTCTATAAACTCAGGGTATATAGGTCACAGGATATCTAGACTACCTTTTTTTGAGGAACTCCTCTCTTCCTGCTATCTGCAAATGTCCAAAGAATCAGATGCTTTTGGTTGGGTGATCAGTTTCCAAAAATCTGTTCTCTAAGCTTTTTGTTTGCCTTGAATCCTTGGACCTAATTCTAGACCCAGCCCAAGCAAAAGTTTTCCTTCCAGAAAAATTGTTCTCTCTTAGAACTCACACTTTGGACTTGAGATCACAGAGATATACCTTTTGTGGGATTTTCCATGAGAGTTCTAGGCCCATGATGGCCTCCATTGCGACTGTTCCATACACCTAATTCAATTTAAGACCTCTCCAACACAACAGCTTGTTGTAATGGAACTAGCATGCTCCTTCTCTTGACCTGTTTATGCCCCTATCCAGGCAAGCAAGGAACTTTCTAGCTTGGTAGATTTCCAACCCAACCTCAACGTCTTGTGGCTCAGAGCGATCAAAATGGCTCTGCACCACGGTAACCCCCTTCTTAAGAACATTCAGTCTGGGCACCACCACGGCTGTGGCCTACATCAATCACCAAGGGGGGCACCAATAACTCATGCAGCCTTGAATTAAGCAAGTTAGGTCATTTCATGCATGGACAAAAACTATCCAGTGATCTCTGATGTTCACATCCGAGGAGTGTGGACATATTGAAGCTGGACTACCAAGGGGAATGGGCTCTTCACCCCTTATGTCTTCAGCATGATCTGTCAGAAATGACGACTCCAGAAATGGATATTCTGGCCTCTATTTTCAACCACAGGTTACCTCTGTGACTGGGACCAAGAATTCTCTAGCATTGGCATTGGATGCTCTGATAATACCCTGGACTCAGTTTAGGCTAATATTTGCTTTTCTTCCACTGAGGATTCTGCCATCACTGTTCCTCAAATAAGAGCAAGAAACCTGTGATTCTTATTGCACCAAGAGAATCTAGTGTGCAGACATACTCAGACTTCTAGGAGATGATACTTGGCCCCTTCTAAACAAGCCAGACCTGCTCCCTCAGGAACCCCTGTTTCATTCTGCTTCTCAGTCACTGGCTTTAATTGGGTGGCTGTTAAAGACCAAGTCTTGAGGGACAGAGGCATGTCAGAGTCTGTCATTGCTACTTTGCTAAAAGCAAGAAAATCCACTTCCAGAAATATCTATCTTTGTATCTGGATATCCTTCTTTGTTTGGTGTGAACACATGCACGTCCGTCTCAGAGATGACTCTTGCCTCACATTTTGACCTTCCTGCAGTTAGGTCTTGACCAAAGCTTTGTCTTAGGTACTCTAAAGGGGCATGTTTGTAGTCTTGTCCATTCTTATCCAAAAACCTCTGACCTCACTCTCCCCTGTAAAAAAAAAAAAAAAAAAAAGTATATCTTGTTCTGACCTCACTTACAATACTGTGTGAGGGACCTCCCTTGGGTTCTTAATCTGGTACTCCCTGCCAAAACCACCCTTTGAATCCATCAGGGAAATCCCCGTAGGTGTCTTCCACTGCAAAGTGGCTTTCTTGGGGTCCATCACATCTGTCAGATGTGTCTCTGAGCTAGTGGTCCTCTCTTGTGAAGAGCCATTCCTTATCTTTCAAAAGAACAGGTAGTCTTGAAACCAGGATATACCTTTCTTCTTTCCATCTTTGTTCCTTACTCCAGGGCAGCCAACAGAAATTGCTCTTCACCACTTGGTCGTGGTCAGAGCCATCAGTCTTCCTTACCAGTCTACAGAGGAATCAAAGTGGGTAGGGTTATAGAGGGACACACGGGGCTTTGCCAGTGTCCAATCACCGGAAGGTATCAGCCTTTAGCCCAGGGTCTATGAATATGAAGCCTATGGCCTGTACTGTACTACAAGATAAGAAATTCACAGATACATTAGAATTCCTTTTTTTTTTTCCTGCACTTTCTTCCTGAGGTAATCATTTCTACAAAGGGCAGAGTAATCCATCTCCCTTTGCTCCCTGAAACTCTGGGTCTGACTCTTGGAACATGTGATAGGAGCCTCCCACAATGCATCTGTGAGACCAGGGTTATATCACATGTTCCTGACTCATCAGGAAGAGGAAAAAAACTGTCGTCATAAGTGAAAGGAAAAATGTTTGTTTAACCACTTGGCAACCGCGCTATAGCCGAATGACTGCTACAGCGCGGTTGTACAGTCCTGGGAGGGCGTCATATGACATCCTCCCAGAACGCACCCTCCCGCATGCCGCTGGCAATCTCTGTGATTGCTGTGTCCTACGGACACAGCTGATCACATGATGTGGTAAAAGGCCAATCACAGCGGCCTGTTACCACGTAATCAGCTGTGTCCAATGACACAGCAGATCACCCGGTAAATGCAATTGCCGGTTATTGGGCTGCACTTTCCTCACACTGTCACAGCATGAGGAAAGTACTGCCAATAACCCGCAATTGTCAAAGGACGGATCGGCACTGATCATTGGGGCCCAACAGTGCTGCCCACAAGTTCCCATCAGTGCCACCCACCTGTGCCCAGCAGTGCCACCCATCAGTGCCCAGCAGTGCCGCCTATCAGTGCCCATCTGTGCTGCCTATCAAGGCAGCCTCATCAACGCACATCAGTGAAAGGGAAAAATTACCTGTTTGCAAAATTTTATAATAGAAACAAAGAAAAACCTTTTTTTTCCCAAATTTTTTGCTCTTTTTTTGTTTATAGCGCAAAAAATAAAACACCCAGCAGTGAATAAATACCACCAAAAGAAAGCTCTATTTGTGTGAAAAAAATTATAAACTTGTCATATGGGTACAGTGTTGCATAACTGCACAATTGTCATTCAGAATGTGACAGCTCTGAAAGCTGAAAATTGGCTTGGGCAGGAAGGGGGTATAAGTGCCTAGTAGGCAAGTGGTTAAAGGCTAAGTTCAACTTTTAGGAAAAAATAATAAATGCAAAGTTTTTTTTTTTGTTCTTTTTTAAGGAAAAAAAATGTGCATTTATTTTTTTTCTTATCAAAGCCTGCAAGGCATTGCACCCATGATCACTGGATTGCAGACAAGTCCTTCAGCTTTCTGCCTGTACCTCTGTGTGCATGATCAGGTCACTTGTCCAATAGGAACTGTAAGCCATCTGCAGCAGTGGATGACGGGACTTGTAGTCTACTCATTCACAGATCTCTGTAAATGAATGACATGACTGTGTGGGTAGCCATGTTGATTTGAAATGTGACAACAGCTGCGGGGGAGAGGAACCCCTGCCCACGGATGAGGGGGGAAGGGGCACAGGGGATGAGGGGGACAGGTGCTGAAACATGTTCCACCCTAAATACAAGTGAAACATAACATATTCCTTAAGGTGAATGTTATGTGGTATTAAAGTGTCACTAAATTCACTTTATAAAAATTATCAATAAATGCTGTATTACATGCTGTTCATACTCACTCATTCAGAATGAGAATTGTTTTCTGTATTCTGCAAAAACCTGGTTGATCCTGCTTTTCCCCATCTCCTCATTCTGTCCCTGTCCCTGTCACCAGTGCAGGTGGGGATTTTGCAGAGCAGTGTTGGCAGCTACTGCACATGCTCAGTTTTCAGTGAGTTTCTGTGCTAAGCATTTCCTCCCTATCACATCTAAGCAGCCCATTTGACTATAAAGTCACACATGTGGGCATATACACAGTGATAAATGACAGCCCACTCCCTCCCTTCCTCCTCCTCCTCTATGCCCACTAACCAGCTAAACACAGTGAGGGTGGGATATAACATCTTGATCGATGGAGGCTTCACCTCCCTGTCATGCTAAGACACAGGCTGGAGGGACATGATACAGCCTGTGACTGGCAGAAATCCACCCACACCATGCTATTGCCCAAAAATAAAAATAATTTCAAATATATATTTGTATGACGATTTAAAACAGTTTATTGATATTATTTTTGCTCTGTATCCCAAAGGCTGTTTTTTTAAACATTTGACTAGCCACAGAGGACTAGAAGCTTCTCCTGTTTATGTTTCCCTATAGACAGGCTGGAAAAGAGCTAGGTCATGTGACAGCTGTATATCAATTAGGAGAAAGGTACTTAGATGTTTTTTTTTAAATTAAAATATTGTGCCATCATCCACATACAGAAAGAAAAGGCATAATGTAAATTAATCAGTGTGTGCTTAGTATCACTTTAAAGCCCAAACCCAAAAATGTATATATTGCAGCTTATTAATCATTAGATGTGGTGGCTGCATTAGTTTTCTTTTCTTAGGCTTTTTCTCCTGTGTTTTCACCTGGTGATCTGACAGGTAACACATCTCCTGTATTAGAGTTCCCTCACTCTGGATGAATGAGCGCAGGGGCACCTTTGGATAGCAGCATTGTCAGTCTGGTGGGAGGGGAGTGTTAGTTGTGCTAGCAAATTTAAATACACAGACAAATTGAAGCCAAACTCCAGATTATACTTTAGTAGTAGTTATTGCTTTATAAATAGGTAAAATCTGATCATTGTTGGCACACCTGTCATAGTTTGTCTAATCTCTCTGATACATTCTACTGGAAAAACAGACTTACTGGTCAGATCACCAAACGGAAATAGAAGAAAGAAAGCCTAATAAAGAAAACGAATGCAGCCATCACATCTAATAAACGGAAAGCTGCAACATACTACATGTTTGCTTTTGGGGTTAACACCACTTTAACCCCTTCACGCCGGCCGCACGCAAATGTGCGGCCTCCAGGCGTCTGGGCCTAGACGCCGAGCGGCCGCACATTTGCGTTCATGTAACAAAAAACATATGTGCTGAGAGCGCGCGCCCTGCGCGCTCCCAGCACACATGTGAGGTACTCACGGAAAGGTCCCAGTCCACTCTTTGGATCGGGACCTTTCCCGATCATGTGACTGACCGTGACGTGATGTCACGGCGGCCACATGACGCTAAGCCATGCCCCGTCCCGCCCACCTCCCGGCGCAGGAACTCCTCTTCACGCCAGGACGATCCGGTGTGAAGGGGTTAATCAGTGGATGTAAGAAACTTTCATATCGCCATGGAGAGCTGTATGCTGATGTGATTTTTCAAAAAAGGAGGGGAAAGGTCCAATTTAAGCAAATCATTTTTGTGAATCAGCTGCAAAGTTTCTTGCCTAGAAACCTGCCAGCAATGATACAACAAAGACAGGGCTTTCTGATCGGTATCCCAACAGCTACCTGAAGGAACTGTAACAGCAGGCTGACTAGCACTTCTGCTAATTGTAAGACACTGGATTACTGACAGGATATCAAGGTAATAAACTGAACAACAGGTTCACAAAAACTATTTTCTTAAAACTGCATGACACAAATGCTGAAACATAGATTTATGCTTTACACACACCTGTACTATGTAAAGCTTTAATTACTTTTGTAATATTTGGATTTAGCTTGCTGGGCCTCAAGGATTAACTAGTTATCATTTAATACATGTGGAATGGGCAAGACCTTTTTGGCATATTTATGTTCTAAAGTTTGAAGCTAAGCAATCTTTTAAGAATACATTTTAAATGTTTTCAGTCAAATGTTTTGTTTCAATAGTTTGAATGAATTACCAGTTTTGCATTTGATTGGCCATAGATAGGCGAATGTCTCATCTAGAACAGCCTTTTTCAACCGGCGTGCATAGGCACCCTGGGGTGCCTTCTGGTTTCTTCATGGTGCCTTGGCAAAATACCTAAAAAATTGCCCCAAATTGTCCACAAATTGTGTACAAGTTTTAACGGGTGGATCAAGCCAGCTTTTATGTTACACATAGACAATGGTTTTCATTGTTGAGCATTACAACCTTTGGCACGGTCCAGGGTAGCCGCCCGCATCCTAACAACTGCTGATGTCATACGTTGATAAGAAGGACATCAAGTACCTACCCATTATCCTGTCAGCACTGGGGTCATGTTAGTTGTGTGGGGTAGAGAAAATGAGGAAGAAGAAATGTTGGAATACTAGTAAGGGCAAATGTGTAAAACTGTATTGGCTTTGAAAAAATAAATCACCTCAACTGTTTGATATCTTACTTGTGTGGATTCTGCTGCAAAATGTAAAACCTTTAGTTTAGCTTCTTACATTTAAGAATGGGGTGCTTCAAGATTTTGAATCATTTGAAAGGGTGCCTTGACTGGAAAAAGGTTGAGAAATGCTGTCCTAGAGTGATGGGTGATGATTAAACCTTTAAAAAAATGGTTTGCTTTAACTGCTTACAAAGTATTAGCAGGAGTTTGGCTTCAATTTGCTAGGGTATTTAAATCTGCTAGTACATCTAACACTACCCTGTTAGTGTGTTACTGGCCATATCACCAGGTGAAAACAGGGGAAAACACTAAAAAAATCCAAATGTAGCCACCACAGCTAATGATTGGTAAGATGCAATATATTACATTTTTGGTTTTGGGAAATATGCCACTTTAATGTGTAGGCCAACATCCTAATCTAAAGATTTGTCTCAATTACAGGAAGATACTTAATCTTTGAGTGAACACATGATGATGAAGCACTCCTTTATCAGTGACTGTTTTCTTTCAGTTTTGTCCTGGTGAACAGTGTTGCTCTGGAAGGGGATGGCTGCGTGATTTGTAGAGCAGAAGAGGATCGTATTTTTAAAGTTTCCCGGCAGCTGAATTGTTCCAGAAAAGTGAGATCTGTAATATGTTATCCTTTGGGAAACACTCTTTCATTCTAAGTAAAAGATAAGTTCTAATGGAATAATATTCCATGCAAATCACCTGCTTTTTTGCAAGCTCCCTGACCCCCCCCTTCCCCAAACAAATGTTCCACCCCAAAAATAATTGCTTTCCTTGGTCCAGCCTCCGACAATGCAGGTGAAGTCACTCTGCAGAGCTGGGAGTTTGGAATCCCATGAGAATGCACTCTTCTAAAGGGCTGGAAATGTTGGAAGACAGGACCGAAGTAAGTTTTTTTTTTTGACGGGAGGGAACGGTTTGTTAACAGATAGGGTTTTTTTTTTTTATTGCAGAGATTGCCAAAAAAGTGGATCTTATGTTTAGCACGAAAGTGTAACACTACCATTCCTTAATAATTTGAGATGTATTATTGTACAGTGGTACAGAAAAAGGACTCTGGAAATAGTATAAGTGCCTGTGTTGATGGGTTTTTATTTACTTCAAGCAGGTTTTGCATTCTCATACAAGACTTTGGTAAAGCAAAGCCTGTTTGCAGCAGATCTAATGCAGGTCAGATGTACCTGCTAATAAATCCTGGATGATCTCAGAAGCATCTCAAACTGATGTCAAAATGATGCCCTCAATACAAGCCAAAGCTTGTTGACACAGGCCCTTAGTGTACCTACTGAAACTTATTCCTTTGCTTGGACTAAGCATGTCACCAGCACACCATGGATCTTCAAAGAAGCATCCAAAAGTTTATTAGAGCAATTGCACCACATCGGGGCAACACAGGACCTCTATGCCTGGGCAGGCTTGTAAAGTCCTCACTGTACAAAACTGTATATATTCCAACTTATTTGGAACAGCTGTCAATATTGAATGCTTTGTCTGAGTGAGCACCCAGGTAACATAGGTACATGTAACAACACAAACATTTCCCCTTAGGCGCATTGGATACTTCAACAGCCTGTACAGGGTCAGAGACCATTTATAGAGCTGATTGACTCCATACAATATAAAGTAGAATTTGCGGTTTTAGCTGTGTCCTAAAAATGCTCCCTACCCCATTCTAACCCCTATTCTGACTAACCTGTGTAAGAAAGATCTGTATACTTACCTACTGTCAGCCCACTCTGGTCCAAGGGAGAGGAAACAATGCTCTTCAGCAACTGGTTATGCCTGGGAGAATGCTGTCACTCATAGGCTCATATGGCCCATCCATTGTTGGAGCTCCCTCCTCCCCCCTGCAGCCAGCATAGGTGTTGGGAGAAGGGAGGGAGAATTTTTAAGATAATTTAAGTAAAGCCCAGAATTCAATTTTAAAGAATAAATTCACCTTTGGAACATGTTACATGTTCCAGCACCTTCATCCAATTCCCCCCCCCCCCCCCCAGAATACTAGTAACATCAGGCATTGCGGTTTATAGCTCTTGGTGAACTTCCAGGGCACTGGTGAACTGTTCTCGTAGTCTTGCTGTCAAATAACTGCCTTCCCATACAAGGTAACAAACCACAATCCTGAGAGTCTGCAGGAGCCTGAAATTGCACCCATGAACTGCTGATCATAGATGTAATGCTCTGCAGGCTCCTTCGAAAAAAAAACAAAAAAAACAAATGCACATATTTGTACCTGCAAATAAATGTGCATTTATTTATTTATTCAAAAGGTGAACTAGTTTAAAGTTTTAGTTTTTTATGGTTTGTTATTATGATTAACTTTCAAATATAGTATCCTGATGTGTCTTTTAATATTACACTGTATAAATTAGTATTGTAGGAAATAAATTGCAAATTGTATTCTTGACAGAAAAATCAACCAGATTTTGAGAAGAAATGTGGAAAACTTCAACTACTGCCTCCATCTGGCTCCCATCCTTTTACAGGTTAGAAAATCACATTGAGAATAGCCAAGGTCAAATGTTAAACACTTTTTTTTAGCTGGAAGTACTAGAAAACCGTAATATTGCTTTAAATCCTATGTAACTAAAAATACAATTTTTTTTTCTCATTTACTCAGGGACTCTATCTACAGTGCATCCAGAAAGTATTCCCAGCGCTCAACTTTTGCAACATGTTGTTATGTTACAGCCTTATTCCAAAATGGATTAAATTCATTTTTTTCCTCAACATTCTACAAAGAATACCCCATAATGACAACATGAAAGAAGTTCGTTTTGAAATCTTTGCAATTTATTAAAAATAAACAAAAAAAACCCCAATGTACATAAGTATTCACAGCCTTTCCTCAATACATTGTTGAAGCACCTTTAGCACCAATTACAGCCTCAAGTCATTTTGAGTATGATGCTACAAGCTTGGCACACCTATTTTTGGGCAATCTCTCCTATTCTTCTTTGCAGTACCTCTCAAGCTCCATCAGGTTGGATGGGGAGCGTCAGTGCACAGCCATTTTCAGATCTCTCCGGAGATGCTCAATCGGATTCAAGTCTGGGCTCTGGCTGGGACACTCCAGGACATTCACAGAGTTGGCTCGTAGCCATTCCTTTGTTATGTGGGCTGTGTGCTTAGGGTCGTTGTCCTGTTGAAAGATGAACCGTCGTCCCAGTCTAAGGTCCAGAGCGCTCTGGAACAGGTTTTCATCAAGGATGTCTCTGTACATTGCTGCATTCATCTTTCCTTCAATCCTGACTAGTCTCCCAGTTCCTGCCACTGGAAAACATCCCTGCAGCATGATGCTGCTACCACCATGCTTCACTGTAGGGATGGTATTGGCCAGTTGGTGAGCGGTGCCTGGTTTCCTACAGACATGACGCTTGGCATTAATGCCAAAGAGTTCAATCTTTGTTCCATCAGACCAGAGAGTTTTGTTTCTTATGGTTTGAGAGTCCCTCAGGTGCCTTTTGGCAAATTCCAGGCGGGCTGCCATTTTCCTTTTACTGAGGAGTGGCATCCTTCTGGCCACTCTACCATACAGGCCTGATTGGTGGAGTGCTGCAGAGATAGTTGTTCTTCTGGAAGGTTCTCCTCTCTCCATAGAGAAACGCTGGAGCTCATTCAGAGTGACCATCAGCTGCTTGGTTACCTCCCTGGCTAAGGCCCTTCTCCCCCGAGCGCTAATTTTGACCGGCCGGCCAGCTCTAGGATGATTCTTGGTGGTTCCAAACTTCTTCCATTTACAGATGATGGAGGCCACTGTGCTCACTGGGACCTTCAATGCTGCAGAAATGTTTCTGTACCCATCCCCAGAGCTGTGCCTTGATACAATCCTGTCTCAGAGGTCTACGGACAATTTCTTGGACTTCATGGCTTGGTTTGTGCTCTGACATGCACTGTTAACTGTGGGACCTTATATAGACCGGTTTATGCCTTTCCTATTGATGTCCAATCAACTGAATTTCCCACAGGTGGATTCCAATCAAGTTGTGGAAAAACCTCAAGGATAATCAGTGGGAACAGGATGCACCAGAGCTCAATTTTGAGTATCATGGCAAAGGCTGTAAATACTTACGTACATGTTTTTTTTTTTTTCCGTTTTTTATTTTTAATAAATTGCAAAGATTTCAAAATGAATTTATTTCATGTTGTCATTATGGGGTATTGTTTGTAGAATGTTGAGGAAAAAATGAATTTAATCCCTTTGGGAATAAGGCTGTAACATAACAAAATGTGGCAAAAGTTAAGCACTGTGAATACTTTCTGGATGCACTGTAGACACTTACCGTACCAGTGGAAGTTGCATCGGTCTTAATGGATCCAACTGATAAGTATTTGGAAGCCCTGTTCTTGCTGGCGTTTCCTGCCCTGTATCTGATTATTGTTGAGACTCCACATTGTGAAACAATGCCTGGCTGGTCAGAATCCCTTAGGAGATCTAACCACTGATTTTTGAACGCATGGAGCAGATGGCTGTAGTATTAGCTATGATGTTTTGCTGGAAGCCTCCTGCTTCATCTCTCGCATGTGCCCCTCATATCAGTGCATATGCGTAGAGCACTCTGGCTTAAGTGCTGTAATGCAAAATCTTTGCGTAGAAAAGCTTTGATCCACATCTTTTTGGTCCAGATTTTGAAAATATCATGTAAAATTCTACTAGTGGCAAGTGCACTTATCTTCCCCAGTAGAAATCATACACTTGACTGTAAAAAAATGTCCCTTTTATTTCTCTAGTACCCCCCCCCCCCCCCCACCCCATTCTAGTCTGACATTCTAAGTTTGCCATAGCCTCAGAAATTGCTTTCTCTTCTCCACATGAAGCTGTCCCCCCATTTCCAAACCCTGAGTGTGTCTGTTAACCCTTGTGGACACTTTGATGGCTTTCATTGTGGATGCCTGAGTGTAGGAGGTGGTGTTCCAGAGCTGCACACTAAAGTTTCAGTCCCCATTCCCTCCTTGTTTCTTCTACCTGACCTTCCACAAATCTGTTCACTGTTGCTAAACCAAAAGGGAGCGCTGGTCTTGTTTTGGATCTCAAAGCTTGAAATGTTTACATTTGAGTACAAATATTCCAGGATGCAATCCACGAGATTTGTCATCACCTCCTCCACCTGGGGACTTCCCAGGTTATGTGAGCATCAAAGAAGCTTACTTGTATGTGTCCATCTTTCCAGTGTATCAGAGGTTTCTAGGCTTTGCCTTTGGGCCCCTACACTACCAGTCCCTAAACTTTTTGGCTTTTCCTGTGCACTTTGGTTATTCCCCAAGGTGCTAGCTCCAGTGTTTGACCTGTTGCCGTTTTATGGCATCCCCATTGTGAGATACTTGGGTGACCTTCTTTTGAGTGAGAAATTGTTGAGGGCTCAGTCAGACAATGTATATCTAGCTGCCCAGACATTAGACATTTAAAATGGGTCCTGAACCTTCAGACATCATTGATGAAACAGACCCTTCATTTGGAGTATCTGGATCTGGCCCTGGACCCTCCTGAGGCCAGAGTCTTTCTTCCTCAGATGAAACTTCAAATTTTCCAGTCCCAGGTTCAGTTCCTCTGCTTCTGCATGAGAGTCTTAGAATTGAAGGTGTCCTCTTTCTAGGCAGTTTCCCTCTCTCCTTATGTCACTCCAGAGGTCTGTAATTTAGTGGGACAAGTCACTGCTTT